GCAGAACAGAAACATTTTCATAGATATAGAGAAAATTTTGTTCGTTTCCAAATGGGAGGGGGATGGGGGAATGGGTGAAAAGGTGAAGGGATTAAGAAGTACAAATTGGTTGCTAGACTGACAAACCTCAAAGGGAAAGGGGGTTTGGGAGTGGGAGGAAATAAACCAAAGAACTTATATGCATAACCAATGGATACAGACAACAGTGTGGGAAAAGGCAGGAAGGGGGCAGGAGTGGGGAGGAGAGGGTCAATGGGGGGAAAATGTGGAACATCTGTAATACATTCAACAATAAAGATATAATTTTAAAAAATTTAAAAAAGAGTAAATACTGCCAAGTTCTAATAAACTTGGTCAATTTACTAATTTGTATATGTGCTGTCGAAGCGAGCATGCAATTTACTAATTTGAATGATTCAGATAATCAGGGTGAAGAATTGGAAGCTACAGAGCAACTACCACTGAAACTCAACAAAAGACAGCCGAGCCAAGTAAACACTGGAAGTGGAATGAAAGGAGAGAAGAAACAGGCAGGGAGCACTTTCAGCAAGTGCAGGAAATGGCTGGCCCACCACACAAGGAAAGAGGACAGCTGCAGCTAAGCATGCTGCTTTATTTTTGTTGTGTGTAAAAGCGTTATAGCCTCTAGACCAGAGCCACGATAAAATTTATAGGCTTGGACTTTGTTTTTTCACATACCACATTCCTGAGGAATCATTTGTAAAACCTGCTTTCTCTCTAGACTGTCAACTTTCAGAAAATCTGAACTTCAAAAAAGTATTTTAACTTTTCCCAAACAAATCTTACACAATCCAAACCTTATGAAAATAAACACTCTGGCCTAGGATTTATACTCAAGGATGACTTGTTATGAAGGTTGAGTACTCAGAGAACATTTTGTAAGAGCGGAAACATGCAGATGGTGCTCAGAGCCTTTTTAGATGTTTGTATGTATATTTTTGTCCCATTATATGCCCTGTGTAATTAATACTAATTCAATAGTGTTCTAAGGTGATCACCTTGGAACAAAATCTATGACCATTTTCTAGAACTATTCTTTTATCTAACCTTTTAACCTTTCAGTGAGTTCCAGATAACTCAGACCATAAGATCCCGAGCTCTTGTGTTTTCACAGTGCTGTTTGCTTCCTTCTCTTTCTAAGGTGCTGGCTCCATTGTAATGACGTGACTTTCCTCTCTCTCTGCCTTAAAGTGGAAATGCTTCCTTTCATATCACTGATTGAAGGTGGAATGTGTGGGACACCTCCCAGGTTGAGTGTTCTGTAGAAGAGCTGGGTGGGTCTAGTAACTGAACCGAGTGTCGACCATGGTGAACCAGTAGGCAGGGTTTCTCCCCACGCAGACTCCACCCGAGCCGTACCCGGAGCCATGACTCTGTTCATTGTCCTTAGTTTTTTCCATATTAGAAATAGCCACATATCTATATTGTGTAGTAGTTGTCAAGTTATTTTCTCACGTTCTTTTTATAGGTGAGGAAAGGTAGTCTTAGAGATACTAAGTAAAATGAGTAAGTTCACTTAACTGGAATGTTGACTCAGATTTCAAAACTCTTCCTACAAGATGAGCAAAATGATATCTGAAAAAACTGCAGTACTTCTGTTTTTGAGAAATATTTTGTTCTGATTGAGATTTTGAATGTTCTGAAGATAAAACAGAACCTGCTTGCCTCTAAGAAGCTAGGTTCAACAACCGATTCAAAAAACATTGCTAAAAGTTTAAAATGAATAAGAGGAATTTCCTTGAAGTGTTACTCATGTCTTAACTTAATCTTGTATCCCAAACTTGTCTTGCTTGTTGTCTACTGAGGAGAGAAGTGAGAGGCAGGAAGACGGGGAGAGCAAGAAATGTGCTGACATGCCTCGCTAACATTCTCCCTTTTTTGTATGCTCCTTGTTTTCAGATTTTCATTCTGCTTTTGTGACTTAATGAATAGCTGATGTATAAACTTTTTCTATATTTGGGGTACTTATCAGAGGACAAAACTTATGACACAAAGCTTATAGAATAAGCCATGTATACAAGGACTAAAAGCCTAATGCTGTTTTGTTAACTTTAGAGTTAATAGCATAAGCATAGCATGAAGTTTATGTTAGTATAGATAGTTATTTTGATATTGCCAAAAATGCTGATCAGTAAACAATACTTGTCTTAGTTAACTAGGGCAGTAGCTTGCACCAATAAGAATGATAATTTTGTCCAAAAATATTTCAGATGCAAAAGCAAAAGTCCCTATTGCAGTACCTAACACACTCAGGAGGCATCTGAAGTATTATTGACTTAGATAACTTAAATGATATATCTTGACACTTTCATCCCACCAAAACATCTCCTTTTCAAGGAGTAAGTAACATTTGACTGGCAAGATTTGACCAAATAAATCAGAGTATTGGTAATCATTGGGAACTAGCTCCGCTATCTATCACTTAAGATTGACAAAGAAGCAGAAGCATTTTGTTTACTTATAATTAAGACTAATAAAAGAACACAGCATGTCCAGAAGAGGAAAACACATACTTAACATTCTCATTTGCTTCTGGATTAGGAGTGAACTTTTTAAAGAATGGCCTGCAACAGCTTTATTAGCTTTGTTTGCAGTATGAAAAGGTAGAAACAGTAGCTGCAGGGATTATTACAACCTTTCCATCTGCTCAATAATCAGATGAAGAGCCATTAATTTTTAATTTTGGATAATTTCCATTGACCTTAATCTTTATGCTTGAGCTTTGGTGAATGACCACACCACCCAATCTACAGAATGCATCAGTACCTTTGAAATGCATTATTTCTGTGTTTTGTGGAAATGTGCTCTACCAGGTCATTTTTACTCTCTTTATGGTCCTTAGGTAACATCTAGTTGCATTGAAAGACTTTGTCTTTGGAACTAATTTCCCTTCTATTTCTAATTGCTGGTTACTTAGTAGACTAATATGCTAATTATCTGATTTTAAAAATCCTTATTTTAGAATTAACTTTAATGCCTTTTTCATGAGGGGAGAGAAAAGTAGCATAGAGAGCTAATGTGTGTCACGTGGAAAGAACATAGGCTTTGGAATCCATCAGAAAAATCAAGATGTTGGTTGTAAAGAACCACCTGTGCCACTAATTATTGATGTGATCTTCACACATAATCTGTTTTCTGAGTCATAGTACAATGGTGATAATAGCCATTCCACCAGTTTCACAGGGTTAAGTGAGGATGGTGTCTGTGAAAATCTTTGAAAACTGTTCTAAACAAATATTTGTGATTTCCAGATTCTATTGCCTTTTTAAAAAATTGATTTTTAAAGGGAGAGGAAGGGGGTGGGTGGAGAGAGAGAGAGACATCAGTGTGAGAGCAAAACATCAGTTGGTTGCCTCCCATAGGTGCCCTGGTCAGGGATCAAACCTGCAACCTAGATATGTGCCTTGACTGGAAATTGAACCCGGAACCTTTTTTGGTGTATGGGATGATGCTCCAACCAACTGAGCCACCCAACCAGGGCTCTGTTGCCTTTTTTAGACACCTTTTTTGAGATAAAACTCACATATCTGATTATAGATAACAATCCTGTATTATAAATTTCAAAGTTGCTAAGAAACTAGATGAAATGATTATTATGCAATATCATAGAGGCATTGGCTAATGCCACATTGGTAATCATACTGCAATATATAAATTATAAAATCAACACAAACTTACACAATGTTATATGTTAATTATATCTCAATAACAATACATTTTTAAAAATTCATATACCATACATTTCACCCATTTAAAATGTACAATTCAGCTCAGCCGGTGTGGCTCAGTGGTTGAGCGTTGACCTATGCACCAAGAAGTCGCCAGTTCAATTCCCAGTCAGGGCACATGCCCAGGTTGTGGGCCAAACCCCCAGTAGGGGGCACGCAGGAGGCAGCCAATCGATGTTCTCTCTCATCAGTGTTTCTATCTCTCTCTAAAATCAATAAAGAAAAATAAATAAATAAAATGTACAATTCAGTGGATTTTTTAGTATAGTCACGAATATATACAACCAACCCCAGTCAGTTTTAGAATATCTTTATTATCTAAAAACAAAACCTCCACATCCTTTACTTACTACCTCTCTATCACTCTCCATTATCCTTTTAATTTTTACTTTGCACTTATTTACAGAGACTGTAGGATAATTGTTTAAAATTAAAGTAAGTAGAAATAAGATTACTTGTGGCCCAGCTGGTGTGGTTCAGTGGACTGAGTGTTGTTCCATGGACTGAGAGGTCCTGGTTCGATTCTCAGTTGGGGCACATGCTGGGGTTTCGGGCTTGATCCCCAGTAAGGGGTGTGCAGGAGGCAGCCGATCGATATTTCTCTCTCACATCGATGTCTCTCTCTCTCTTCTTCTTTCTCTGGAAAATCAATAAAAACATATTTTTTAAAAAGATTACTTGTGGATGACATTAAAATACTGTTTCCTGTGAAGTGTCTCTTAGGGCTTTTTAGTTAATGCTCTAAGTGCATCAGTAGGATGACGGATAGCAAGCAAAGTGTTAATAAATGATATTAAAAAGAAGATGCTAACTCCCAGTCCAGTTCTGTTTTAAGAAGCAGAAAACGCAAGTCCTCACTGTTACTGTTGAAGTCCTGGTGCCATCGAGCAGCTCCTTCCAGTGGGATAAATCTGTGGGAAGGCTGGAGAGGAACGAGGGGGCTGATGTTTGTGCCAAGATGGATGGGAGCCTTCCCCTTTACTTAGAAGCAGATGTTCCACAGCCAAGGGAATACATATTACCAAGAAGCTTTTTACGTTTCCTTAACTTTCTGAACATGAGTTTGATTTTATCAGCAGAGTGATGAAGTAAGGAGGGGAGAGGAGGAGACGGGGGACAGAGTCACACATGAAGCCCCTCTCCTTTTTGTACAACACAAATATTAAGTGGAGCTGTTGAGGCTCGTTCACAGTCTGTGTGTGGTGCCAACTGGGAAAAAGGAACTGAACCTCAGCCTTGTTTTTGTTTCAGGTCGCCAGATCCCACCCTTGGACCCCCAAGAAAATGGAAACAATGGAGCAATCAAACTTGGGAAGCCAAGCATGCCAACCAGCCGGCGGTGCTGCTGATTGAGGCCCATGGCCCACTGTACTTGAAGAAGCCAGAGCCACCTCCCTGAGAACTGCTGAAGGACCCATTCTCGGTGGCCTGACACCTCACTTAGAGAAGTGAGCACGCTGGCTTGACATCTGGGAAGACCTGCAGGGAATGGGACAGGAAATGTCCCTGAAAAAGTATTTGAGAAAACTCTAAAAAAAATCTACCATTTAGCCTTTTGTGCATAAAATGCACATGGGAGAGAATGGATGGTAGATAATAAACATAGTTGAGTTTTTGTTGAAACCCTTAAAATATTTTCAATTTGTACAAAAATCTTACTGGCTTATTATGTGTGTGAGATTCTAAAAGTGGTATTCCACATTGATTTCCTGTGTCCCCTAGCCAAATTCTAGTATCTTCTTCAGTGCCATTGACTTTACTGAAAGTTTACCTTAATTTTATTTAATTTAACTTTCAGTGGAGTATAACTGGATCATCACTCAAGTTGTAGATTCGAATTGTTATAAAACTGGGGGAAGATGTATTAGAAACTGTTGTGTACATCTGACTTTTACTCGATGAATATTTTTGTAAGTTTTGATCACATATAAACAAACAATTCGACTCTGACTAAAATATTACATGTAATTTTGGGATTGGGAGGCCTGGTTTAGAAGAGTCATTTAAGTACTGACTGGATCAGCACTGACAGGTGTAGGATGTAAATATTGCTCCAGTGACCACTTGGCATGCATCGCCTCCACGGCAATAAATTCCTACTCTCTTAGAGAGGTTTAACACTCAGAGTTTTATTTTACTAACAGAATATGTCCTAGTGTCGTATCTAGGGGGGGAAATTAACTGGAGTACTTTTGAGACCATATCGTAGGGTGAACTTCTAATAATAGCAATTAAAAACAGGTTACAGGAAAATCAGCCTAGATTTTACTAGAGAAGTAGCAGCACCTTAAGATTCTAGACCCAAATTGCAAAATTAGAGAAAGCATTTTAGAAGATGCCAACCTTGGGGAGGTTGGATTAGGGCTTAAGAGGGGTCCAACTCTGGAATGCCAATTAACTGAGCGTAGGCTTTGATTGAAATCTTCCCTTTCAGGTTCCCTGTCTGCTCAATTAATTAAAGATGTCAGAATCCAAAGGCAGTAAGGGAAGAAAAGGCATGAAGAGAAAGAAAGGCTATTTCCATTTCAAATTTGAATTCTGTTACCATTCTAACTTTCATAAGAACCTAGGATCCAGAAGCAGTTGGTTTTCTATTAAGGCTTATACTGGGAGGTGATTGTTAAGGATATTCAGATCAGGGCCTTTTGTGAGAGCTAAGAAGCTGTAAAACAATAGCAGAAATAGTTAATTGTGCACTGTGGTCCATGAACATTTAAGGGCCAGTAAACATTTATTGCAAACCTACAATGCAAAAGCTAGGAGAGGTAATGAGCATATTAAAGACCTAGAACTTTAAGTAACTTAGTGTGAGCTGCCGCTTCACAGTCCTGCCACGGTGTGTCCTCCATGTTCTGACACATAGACACCAAGTACTGCCATTGACAAAAAGGAAGAGTCCTTAAGAAACCAGGGCCAAGTTTACACTTCTGTATATGGATGGTGATCAAGATAATAGGTAGAAATCACAGATTAAGGTGTGTTTTTTTAGACATGTTTTTTTATTGAATTTTAAGAGAGAGATGAAGGAAGAGAGAGATAGAAACATCAATATGAGAGAGAGACATCAATCCGCTGCCTCCTGTACACTCCCCACTGGGGACAAGCCCGCAAATGGGCATGTGCCCTGACCAGGAATCAAACCTGGACCTCTCAGTCCATGGGACGACACTCAATCCACGAGCCACACCAGCCAGGCAAGGTTTTTTTTTAAACTCAAGAATATCCTGTCTATTTGATGTTCTTCACCTTGCTTGCTCTTAAGAGTCGTTTGACAATCTTAGAATGTGAAGGCTGTAAACATTTCTTTTTGGTTCAAAAGTACCTCTTTGCTCTCCCAGACAGGTACCTCAAAAAACGTTAGCAAGTGGCATTTGGATGAGTTGGCTGGACCTTTGCAGGGTTTTTTAGGGTTTTCTCCATATTATCAACATTACTGGTTTACATGATTCTGCTTGCAGGCCAAGCAATTGTCATGCTCTTCCCAAAGTTAAAAATTGTGGAATGAAAATTGAAATATTCTCTTTTCAGGTTGCATGCAGGCTTCTTTTGGAACCTTCCTTTTTTCCGCTATCCCTGTCAACCTGGGGTTATCCCAGACAGTCTCTCAGGTTGCCTGGCTAAGGCGGTACGCATCCCAGTGGAGTTATACAGCTTTGGTCTGGATCTCTGTGGTCACATTTTGCATAAAATGGCTGGTCTTGTCATGTGGTGAGCTGCCCACTAACAATGTCACAGTTTTATTTCAGAAGCTCATGAGGGTGTGAAACCACTCTAACCTTTCTGTGCTGCCTTTGCTGTTCAAGCCAGTCAGATGACTGTGTGTATAAAATCCTTACTTGGAGTAGTCGGTGAAGAAAGCAGTGGCCTTTGAGCACAGAAGCCTTTATATAAACATGGAGTAGTCTTGAACCTGTCCAGGCTTTTTTATCTTCCTTTATTCTGCCTTGAGATTACTTTCTGTCTGTTCTAATAATTGAACTATAACCAAGTAATATAATGTAAAGGCCTGGAAATTACTATTGTTTCAAAATGACAAGTAGTTTCATGTGATGTAACATCCTTCACATAATTTTCCAAAATTCGCTCCTTTTCCCATGTTTTTTTTTTTCCCTTTCATGTGTGGTATAATGTGTATATGTGTAAATATGATTTCATATTTGTTACGACAACATATAATCCATTTTACTGGCTGAGTTTGGCTCACAACTGTGTTATATGATGTAGGCAGGACTTCTCACCAGGATTATTTCCCAGTGGAAGTCCTAAGATGGCAGTGGATGCACACATTTTGTGTAGGGACATAATTGACTTGCCATTTCATGGTTGAAAATGGTACACTAGGTGCTGAATGTGACGTTACCTTATAGATACAGAAGGTTGAAGACTTTAAACTAACCCTTAGCCAACAAAAGGGCTGTGCCCCATTGAGAACTGAGTTCATTTTCTGAGGGAGGTTTGGAAGACTGAAATACTTTCTCAAAGATTAAGAATGTGGCATGCGATGGCTGCATTGAGCTCCTCCTAGGGGACTCCATTTATCATTGCTCTGCAATGCTCGTTGGGAGTCGAATAATGAGCTAGCTTATAAATGAAAGGGCTCTGAGCTGTATTCAGACCTATTAAGTATCTAGTTTATTATTTTAACCATATTTGTTGAAACCAGACCCAGTGACCCAATGTCTGCTCTGTGTGTAAACTGCACCTTTTTCGCGTGTTTTTATAACGGGCTTCTGTCTGGGCTGGACCCAGTTCTCACATACAGAAGACGCCACTGTAGACAATTAGGACCTTTCCACCTGTATTCATTCTTTAGTAAAGCATTGCCCTCAACATTGCCCAATTGTATCTGTTATTTTTGTTTTAACACTGATACTAATAAATATTTTAAGTTTTGCCAAGCTTGTCTTTTTCTTATTATAATATTTAGTAGAATAATTTTTAAAAATTACATCCAACTCAGCTATCATGCATAAAGAATGGTGATTCCTCAGAGAAACTTGTGTATCTGGACATATAAAGACATATATAAAGATGTTCACTGGCACTGTGCAACAGCAAAACATCTTCCCTAAGGAAATTGATCAATAAGATGTAGCACAGCCGTATGATAAAACTACAGGGTACCTGGGCCCACAATTAACTGATATTTTATATTCCTCTACTGCTTCATTTCCCCTTCCTATCAGAATGATGCATTGATGAGTATTGTTCTTAGTCCCCAGGAAACTCACATGACAAGCATTCTATGCTCACATTATGGATCAAAATATTAAGAACCGGAAATGGATTGATCAAGTTACTAATTGTTAGTTTCTCTGAAGCAAAATCATTCCAGCTGTATTCAAATTGTCCCACCTGAAACATCACTAAAGATGTGAATCTGTTATATGCAGACAACAGTATGGTGATTGTCAGAGGGAAAGGGGATGGAGGGAGCTGCGAGAGGGCAAAGGGGGAGAAATGGTGGTGGAAAGAGACTTGACTTTGGGTGGTGAGTGCATGGTGCGGTATGCAGATGATGTGTTACAGAGTTGTACACTCGAAACCTGTATGGTTTTATTAACCAATGTCACCCCAATAAATTCAATTAAAAAAACAACAAAAACAAAACAATGATAGGGTAATTTAAATGAATGCAATAGCTATCATGCATCAACATGTATCTCAACACAGAATGTGAGCCCTGGCTGAGTAGCTTAGTTGGTTAGAGCATCATCCCAATACTTCAAGGTTTTGGGTTTGATCCCCGGTCAGGGAACATACAAGAATCGACCAATGAGTACATAGATAAGTGGAACAACAAATTGATGTTTTCTCTCTCCCTCTCCCCCTTCCTCTTTCTCTCTCAAATTAATCAATAAAAATAAAAATGAAAACCAACCAAACAGAAGGTGACAATGCGGAGCTACCATACTGCATATCCCTAAGAGGCTACTCACGTCTGTGTGGTTGGAGCCCTCGGGAGCTGTGCTTGCAGCCTGAGCAACCGAGCTGTGGTGTGGCTGAGCGAATAAAGAAAGTTGAAGAAGTACAAAAGCATACAAACTTACACAAAACAATAGTGTGTATAAAAATGAAGAATTAGAAGGAAAAACATCAGCTTCATGATACTGCTTACCTCGGGAGGGAGGGAAGTAAACAGGATCAGAGAGAACACAGGGCATTTAACTATCAGTAATTTTTATTTATTTCATGATATAAAAATCTGAAGCCAGTAGGACAAAATGGTAGCATTTGGTCATTTCAAAGTATGGATTTCATTATTCTGTATATTTTGTTGTATTAATTTTTTTTTAAGAATAGGACATAGAGACAAACAATGAAGGATTAAGCTGACTTCTTAAATATGCTAGAAAGATTTCATAAGTGTAACTGCCAACTTCGTGTACTCAGTACACTGTACGAGGTTTCTTATTCCCATCCCTTCATCTTGGCTACCCACACCTGCCCGACAACACACACATTCTTTCTCGTCAGCACTTGTGGATCTTAGGCTTTCTTTCTATGCAGAGCTGCATTGGGTGCAAGGATGTGGAGAGAGAGGAGAGCACGTCCTCAGCATTTGAATCATGGCCCGAGGCATATGCTGGGAAGCTGCTCTTCATATACAATAATAATAAAAAACACCCCAAACCCACCATCACCTAGAGACCAAGTATTCTGATTTTATAAGAAAATGAGCCTTTCTTTTGCATTCACTACAGGTGGTTACTATGTATGGCACTTTCGGGAACACTTCCTATTCAGGTAAGGGTGGTCCTGCTGGTTAAGAGAGGAGGGAGACCTCATCCTAAACCCATGAACATCCATCTCGAGGAATGTCTTCTCTAACGTTTTGGGATACTGCAGTAATGTCCACTTCAACAGGTTTCTGGTACAGATGTGAAGCTATCTCCCCCCTCCTTTCCAGGGTCTATTGAAGCTAAACGGATAATGCCAAGCACTAGCAGTTTTACTGAAAATGGGCACTCTCAGATATGCTGGTCAGAGTATAAATCGGTACAAGCTTTCTGGAAAGCAACCTCGTGACATGGTAGCTGGCTTGCATAGGTTTAATCAGTGATATCCACAGACTAAGGTGCTTGTCCCAGTATCATTTATAGTGATGAAAACTTGTAAAAATTCAAATGTTCGCCCTGGCCAGTTTGGCTCAGCGGTTAAAGCGTCGGCCTGCAGTCCGGAGAGACCCGGGTTCGGTTCCCGCTAAGGGCACGTACTTCGGTTGCAGTTTGTCCCCGGCCCTGGTTGGTCGTGCGGGTGGCAGCCACTCGATGTGTCCCTTCACGTCGATGTTTCTCTCTCTCTCTCCTTTCCTCTCTCTCCCTCCCACTCTATCTGTACAAAAAATGGAAAAATATCCTCGGGTGAGGATAAAAAAAAATAAATAAATAAAAAAATTCAAATGTTCTATGCTATGAAATTAGTTAAATTATAGTACATTGCTAAAATAGAATACTGTGATCATTAGAAATTACAGTATTAGAAATAAGTGTTACTGGTCACAAAACTCAAAGGTTAAAAAAATACCTCTTTCTATATTCTGTAACAATTTAATTTCTACTTTGAGCCCTCATTTGCAGAAAGTTGAGTTTAGTCATACCAAATTTTATCCAAAGTGGGGCGCATCTTAGAGTGAAGGGAATACTGTTAACATCAAGCTGGGACGTGGGTGTAAATCAGATAGACCCGGGCAAACTGGGACAGAAGGTCATTCTGGTCTAGCTTCCTACCGATCTAGCAAGGTGGGAGGTGGTATTGGGGAGGTGGGGCAGAAAACTCGGGAGTTCCTGGGTAAGTACCTTATCATAGCTCTCTTCATAAAGTCATCCATCTGTTCATTCATCCATCCAGTATTTGTGGAGGGGTACTATAAGTCTATGCCAAACTAGCCCTCCATGCTCCATTGGATGTATATAATTTCCAAGCTTACAAAGAAATAAAGATAAGGGAAAAGACAAAAGAAACCAGAATGACAGGAAGGAGAAGATGTTCCTTCAAGGGCAGAAGAGGCAGCTTGATTGGGGAGGCACTGTGACCACAGGGGAAGAAATGGGGGCTTGGGAATCAGCTCACCCCTTATTCA